CCTGGTTTTCGCCCTGCCCGTCCCGACGAGTGGACTGTTAGGCCGCTGCATGGATGGAGTTCATTCTCCTCATCTTGTACTTTCTTGACATCAAAGGATGTACTGCGAGCCACGGAGAAGAGTGGAGGACACCGGTGAATGCCAGGCTGGTCATGGGCTCGCCGGCTCCCAGAAGATCAGCCCACAGCCAGGTTCAGCTGTGTGAGCGTGGGCAAGTCACATCACCTCTCTGAGCCTCAGTCCCTCCCCTGCAAGATGGGCCTAGAGTGCCTACAGTGCATGAGGGGTGGAGGACTTGATGAGGTCACGCATGCTCAGCGCGGAGACGCATGCAGTTGGTGCTCAATAAAGACACACCTTTGATCCCAGGTTTTGGCACCAAAAAACCAACCAACAAACAAACAAAAGACACACCAAGCATGAGGACTAAGCAGGTGGAGGGGCACGGCAGAGGAGGCTGCAGGGGAGAGGTGCCTGTGGAGGAGCGGCCTGGCCAAGCTCCCCCACTGTGTGTGTGGAAATAAGGGGTTTGAGCCCCAGTTCAGCCTCTAAGTGTCCCTGTAACTCTGGACAAGACCCTCATCATCAGAGCCTCTCCCTCGGTTCTGCCAGCTGTGGGTCAGATTGCGAGGTTGGGGACTACACGACCACCCAGACACGCCATCCAGCCCCCACTGTAGGGATGGGTGTGCTGAGGCCACGGGGGGGCAGGGACTACCGAGCTGATGCAGGCGTCCCTGGCAGCTGCTCACCTGTGGGTTCTGGAAGAAGGTGTCCTTGTGGTTGATGCAGCCCCCACTGCGGTTCTGCCACGGGTCCTCGTGCCGCGTCCAGGCCCCGCGCAGCCGGGCCTCCTCCCAGGTCTTGTGGATGCTCAGGTAAGACGTGTTGAGCAGGCGGCACTTGATGATGTCGGTGAAGTATTGGCACACGTCCTGGAAGGTCATCCTGGCGTGGCGAGGGGCTGAGTCAAGCAGGTCCCCGTCCGGCCCACCCTCTGCTCGCCCTGCCTGCTCGGAACCGCGACTCTCACAACAGTGAGCATGGACATGGCATCACACAGACCCTTCACGTCTCTTTTGGCCTCAGTTTCCCGATTTGTAACTTGGGACTGCAACAGCTGCCACCTCACAGAGCTAGTGTAGGAATTGACTAAGGCAACAAAAGCATGTTGTACAACTCCTGGCAGACAGAGGCAATTGCAAAGGCTGGCCGTTACAGTTATGAATAGGATCAATCACTAATGTGGACAGCGCTCTACAGTCCATAAAGCATGTTCCCATCCATTATCTTCCACGGCTGTTGTGGGGCCTGAACCTGAATAGACTGGTGCCAGGAACCCCTTGGTAAGCATGCTGCTGTGGCCAGGACGTTGCCATGGTCACTGGGTGCTGCACACACCTCCAGGAGCCTGGGTGGGGGAGGGGAAGTGCCCATCCCCCTTCAAGTAGGCACAAATGAGAACATGTACATGTAGGCACCATGTGTGAACATGTATGAGAAAGGCCTTAGAAAGAAACCCCTTACACTAATGAGGAGTTTCTATTATTATGTTTTAACTCAACTGAGCCCTGAGCCAGACTGGGCACAGTGGATCTCATCCATAGCAGCTCAGACCAGGGGACCTGGGGGGCCTCCTGCAGGGGCTCCCCAAACACCAGCAGGAGGGGTCCTCACTGGGGTACCACGGTCACTCCATCTGCCTCTGGGCCTGCCGGGGGCCCTCACAGCTTCCACTACACCCAGGGTGCCCAGGGCCCCTCCAGGAAGTAGCTGAGTCTCTGAGTCAAAGGTCCTGTTGAAGAGTGATGCTGAGTCTGGCACACAGTCAGGACTAAATCCAGGCTGAAGGATGCAGAGGTGAGTGAGTGCAGGATGGGTGGATGCAGGATGAGTAGATGGAGGATGAGTGGATGCAGGATGGTGGATGCAGGATGAGTGGATGCAGGATGGTGGATGTAGGCTGGGTGGATGCAGGATGGGTGGATGCAGGATGGGTGGATGCAGGATGGTGGATGCAGGATGAGTGGATGCAGGATGGTGGATGCAGGATGAGTGGATGCAGGATGGTGGATGCAGGATGAATGGATGCAGGATGGGTGGATGCAGGCTGGGTGGATGCAGGCTGGGTGGATGCAGGATG